GTACCAATTATTTATAGTTCTAATTTTTTTAATTTCAATTATTATTAGTTTTAGTTATTGTTAGTTTCAATTATTTATAATTTCAATTCTTGTCGGTATCAATCTCTATAAATTTGAATTAGTAAAAATTTTTATTAAATTTGAAATAAGTTATTGACATTTTCCTTTTGAATTAGTAACTTTTATTAAAAACTTAGTAAAAATTACTGTTTATTACTCAAATTTACTAATTCATCAGCAATAAATCAGTCACTAAATTAAAATTAGTAAAAATGTTTACTAATTTAAAAGAGTGCATAAATTTTTTATTTTGGATTAGTAAATTTCACAAATAAATAAGTAATTTCTACTAATTAATTAGTAAAATTTTTTAATTCGAAAGTAAAACATTAAGTCACTAATTCAAATTTATAAACATCTTTACTTATTCAAATTTCGAGACATTCGTTTTTAGTTACAGTTGTTAGTTACAATTATTTACAATTTCAATTATTATCGGTATCAATTATTTTTAATATCAATTATTGTTATTTCCAATTATTTATTGATGCTTTTAGCAATAATTATTCTCAATTACAAATTTTTATAGTTTCAATTATTTTTCGTTTCAATTATTTATAGTTTCAATTTTTATGGTTTCAATTATTGTCAATTTTAATTCTTTTTAGTTTCAATTACTGTTATTTTCAATTATTCTTAGTACCAATTATTGGTAGCTTTAAGTATTTTTAGCTTTAATTATTGATAGTTTCTGATATTGTTTGTTTTAATTATTGACAGTTTCAATTATTTTTAGTTTCAATTTTTATAGTTTTAATTTTTATAGTTCCAATTTTAATAATTTCAATTTTTTTATTAGTTTCAATTTTTCTAGTTTCAATTATTGTCAGTTTTAATCTTTTTTAATTACAATTATTGTTATTTTCAATTGTTCTTAGTACCAATTATTAGTAGTTTAATTTATTCTTAGTCCCAATTATTTTTATTTTCAATTAGTGTCTTTCTGTTATTGTTAGTTTCAATTATTATTTTATATTTTAATTATTAGTAATTTCTTTTATTGTTGACATAAACTATTGATTGCTTCAATTATTTTTAGTTCCAATTTGTTAGTTTAAGTAGTTAATCATCCAATTGTTGTAAATTTCCATTATTTTTCCATTATTTTAATTATTTTTCGTTGAAGTTAGTATTAGTTCTAATGATTATTATTACTTCTAATTCTTTATATTTTCAATTATTGTTAGTCCAAATTGTCATTAATTACTTTCATTATTAGTTCCAATTTCCCAGTTAAATTATTTTTAAAATCAAATATTGTTAGTTTTTATTATTTTTGTTAGTGTCAATTGTTGCTACTTTAGCTTCTTTTGTTTTAATTTTCTATTTCCATTGTTGCAAGTATTCATGGTTAGTTTTAATGAACATTTAATTATTGTTAGTTTCAATTATTGTTATTTTCAATTATTTTTATTGTCAATTATTGCTATCTTCAATTATTGTTAGTTTCAATTATTGCTATTTTCAATTATTTTTATTGTCAACTATTGCTATCTTCAATTATTGTTAGTGTCAATTATTGTTAGTTTCAATTATTGTTAATTTCAATTACTGTTAGTATCAATTATTGTTAATTTCAATTATTGGTAATTTCAATTACTGGTAGCATCAATTATTGTTAATTTCAATTATTGGTAATTTCAATTACTGGTAGCATCAATTATTGTTAATTTCAATTATTGGTAATTTCAATTACTGTTAGCATCAATTATTATTGTTAGTATCAATTATTGCTATCTTCAATTATTGTTAGTGTCAATTATTGTTAGTTTAAATTATTGTTAATTTCAATTACTGTTAGTATCAATTATTATTAATTTCAATTATTGTTATTATCAATTATTTTTATTGTCAATTATTGCTATCTTCAATTATTGTTAGTGTCAATTATTGTTAATTTCAATTACTGTTATAGTATCAATTATTGTTAATTTTAATTATTGTTAGCATCAATTATTGTTAGCATCAATTATTGTTATTTTCAATTATTATTAGTGTCAATAATTGTTAGTGTCATTTGTTGTTATTTTCAATTGTTGATAGTTTCAATTATAATAAATTAAAATTTTTTAGTTAAATTATTTTTTAGTCCAATTATTGTCAGTGTCGGTGATTGTTACTTTAAATTATTTACTACTTTAAATTATTTTCATTTACAATTGTCCTTACTTTCAATTGTTGTTAATTTCAATTCCTGTTAGGTTCAATTATGACTATTTTCAATTTTTGTTAGTTTGCATTACTGTTAATTTTTCTTCTAATAATTAAATTAATTAGATTTACAATAATTCCTGATTTCAATTTTTTTCCCAATGCTTTCGAACAATATTGCCTTTACAATTATTTTCGTTAGATTTCTCATTATGAAATTAAACTTGTAAATAATTGAAAAATTATTTTTTTGTTTCCTAATGGCGTTGAAATTTCGACAGAAAATTTTTAGTGAAATTTTCGACCGATTTAATTGATTTCTTAATGAGTATATCGTGTTTCCTCTATTTTGTAAACTTGAGTTAGTCGAATGCTCAGTCACAGTCTGACTGCTCTGAATAATTAACGATTGAAATGAAAGTGCGAAATACGAAACTGTTGTAGGAAGTGATTAAGAGTACTTGTATTACAAGGTTATGATCAGTGCTTTTATGCAGATACCAAATAAAAAGTTACAAAATGACTAATCGATATTCATTAGCAACACTATTCTTCTGAATGCCAAAAATGCATTTTTATTTCAATTTTTAAATTTTTTTGGAAACTGAAAATTATAATAATAATAGTAATAACAATAAGATAATAATAATAATAATAATAAATAATAGTGCTTTTTTAATAATAATAGTAGTAATAATAATAATAAAAATAATAATAATAACAATGGAAAAATAATTTTATTATTTATTAATAAATAATTTACATTTAGAAACGAAAAATGTAATTTTCCATAAATTATATTTTGAAGTATTAGAAATTTTAGCTTCTTAAAAAAATTTGATTAATACCAAATTAAATTTAATTTTCTAATTAAATAGTTTTGAGGCAATATAAATATTCATATTATAAATTAAAAAGAAAAAACTTTGATAAAATTTTTCTTCTTTGCTAAAAATTATAATTAGCTATTCAGACTTTTTAATCGTTTATGGAATTAATTGAAAATATCGCTGTGATTTACTATCGAATCGTCTCTCTGAAGAATATTCGATATATTATTCGATGGTATATAACACGTTTTATAAAATAATAAAATAAAATATGAAAATTGATGAATCATTTTAATAGGCCATAAAAGGTTAAATCTCTCAATTGTGTTGTGTGTAACAAATATAATATAGAATCAAGTGCCATATTAGCTAATTTTTTTTTTCTTTTTCAATAAATATATTATGCCTCCTGGAAATATAAATGGACTAAAATACAGTTGGAAAAGTAGAAGAGGTTGTGCAGTGATTTCTCACACATTGCCGGTAGCGTTGTGCAAGTCTCAGCCATGAACTTTAAGTCAATGAGAGTGAATGACTTAGGTTTAGAGATATCCGGAGATCGCAACATTCATTGGAACTTCATCTCTTGTATATGTTTATACATACACGTTTATAACCTCATGCAATTATCTCATTATTTCTTAATTAGAAATTGCTAATAATTCACATTGTCAACCGTTTGCAGTTTATCATAATAATAGTTTAACCGCAAATTTCATTTAAATTCAAAATTTAGAATATAGTGGAAGAACGTGAGACTTAAATTATTGTAGATAAATATAATTTTGCGGTTTGTGATTTAAGACATTTCTTTGGCGGAAATTTTTTTTAATTATTTTTTTGAACTTTTTTTAAAGTTTGGTAACTAATTTACTCTCTTCATTATTAGTAGAATCATTTATAAGTTGAAAATTTTTATACCTAAAGCTTGGAAATTTTGGGAAAAAATAGATTTTAAGGCCTCAAAATTGATTCAATATATTTTTTTGCATTTATAATTTATTACAAATATTTTTACTAATTTAGTATTAATTTAATTAAATTTAATCTCTGTATTAATTAGTAGATTAAATAAACAGTTTGCAAAATTTCGGAAGGAAAATTATAAACTTAAGACATTTTTTTCAAAAAAAAATTTTTTTACTTACAATTTCTTACAATTAATTAAGTAATTAATTATTTAATTATTATTTAATTTATTTATATTATTTAATTTAGTAATGAAATTACCACTTAGTAATTGGATTTAGTAATTAAAAATTAAAAAATTTATTATTTGGTTTGGAAAATTTACAAAAAAAGCAATTTTTTTTATTTTTTTTCTCTTTTTCCTTTTTCTTTCCAATAATTTTGTAATTTAGTAATAAAAGTACTAAAATACTGAATTTAGTAACTAATTAAAGAATATTATTATAAAGAAAATTCTTTATAAATAATTTGAAAATTTCAGAAAGAAAATTATAAATTTTAAAAATTTGTTTCAAAAGAATTTCTTTTTCACTTACAATTTCTTTCAAATATTTTTTTCTAATCTAGTCAATAATTTATTACTAATTTATTAATTATGTTATTTATTATTTTTTAAATTAATTAGTAGATTAATTTATTTTTGAAGTTACTGAATTACTAAATTTAGCATCTAATTTAGAAAGAAAATAATTTACTAACAGTTTAAAAATTTTTAATTAAATTTTTTCAATTAAAATTTATTAAAAATAATTAAATTGTAAATTTAAGAGATTTCTTCCAGAACAATTTTTTTCGTCTACAATTTTCTTTCATAATTTTTTTAAAAATTAGAAGAACTAATTTAGTAACTAGTTTAGAAAAAAAAATTGGTAAAATTTTACACAAACTTGAAAATTTTGCGCAGAAAATTGCAAATTAATTCTAAATTAAATTAAATTCTAAATTAAAATTCTAAATAAATAAAAAATTGTGGGAGGAAATGAAACTCACCTGTATTTGAACGTTCCTGTGGATATCCTGACACTTGTGTTCCAAGAACCGAAACGACTGCAAATAACTGCAATAATAGAACCTTCATTTTTTTTTGAGCACTTTAAAAAATTTTCGTTTTTTATTATTATTATTCTTATTATTCCGCAATAATAAGGGATAAACTTTTTTTTTTTTAGTAAAAAGTTAGTGAACAATTGAGGGGAAAAAATTGCACGCACAAAAAAATTTTTTTTGGAAAAAAAATAATGTTTTTTCCTCCTTTTTTTGCTAATATGATTGAATCACTAAAAAACATTCACTGTGTGGTTGTGGGTGAACTGAGAGAATAAATATAATAAAGGAAAGAGCTCCTGCCGCTGTCAGACTGTACAGCAATCTGGAGAGCTGCCAGGCGCTTTCACTGAGTTTATACGCGTGCACGAAAGCGCCTCTTCCAAAGTAGAAGGGGATTTCTATCCTACTGTATCAGTTTATCAACATCTTTTAAAGAAGCGCTTAGATAATTATTTTTTCGGGCCGGACAATCGTCTATTTCCAACAATAATTTTTTTTTACTTTTGCAAAAAGGGGAATTTTCCAAAAAAATATTTAGTTTCGTATTTTTAGACTAATTTTAGTTTCATATTTTTGTATTTTTTGTTTTCGTTTAGCTTTTGACTTTTGTCAAAAGTTATTTTTTGTTTTTTAGTATTTAAATATTTTTAAATTAATTTAATAAAAACAGTTAAATTTAAATTTAAAAAAAAAACAATAAAATTTAATTTAATTACTCTCTAAATTTGAATTAATAAAATTTTTTATTAATATGAGTTAGTAACTGAATTTTTTATTTTGGATTAGTAAGTTTTACTAATAAATAGTAATTTCTATTAATTTATTAGTAAAATTTACTAATTCAGAAGAAAAAGGACAGTCATTAATTCAAATTAGTAAAAATTTTTACTAACTCAAATTTAAATTTAAATTTAAATTAATTAATTTAATTAATTAATTAATTAATTAATTAATTAATTAATTAATTAATTAATTAATTAATTAATTAATTAATTAATTAATTAATTAATTTAATTTAATTTAATTTAATTTAATTTAATTTAATTTAATTTAATTTAATTTAATTTAATTTAATTTAATTTAATTTAATTTAAATTTAAATTTTAATTTATTTAGTAGTATTCAAGTAGTAATTAGCTATTAATTAGTATTCGAATAGTAATTACTTAATAATTAGGATTCAATTAATTAATTAAGTAATTAATTTAATTAGTTAATAATTATTATTCACTCTTAATTAGTATTAGCTACTAATTATTATTCAAAGAGTAATTATTTAATAATTAGGATTCGAATAGTAATTAGTATTCGAAAAGTAATTAGTAGTAGCTACTAATTAGTATTCGAAGACTAATTAGTATTAGCTATTAATTAGTATTCGAATATTATACTTAGTAATTAGATATTAATTATTATTAGCTACTAATTATAATATTTGGAGCTGTGTTCAATTGAGAATATAATTATCTGGAACTAGATTTAATTGAAATTATAATTAGCTGGAACTACATTTATTTAAAAATGCGATCATTTGAAATTAGTTATTTGAAGCAGAAAATTTTTTTTTTTAATTAAAAAATAATAGCAGAAGCAAAAATTATATAAAAAGTAAATTATTGCGCAAGTAAATGAAAATTATTGTTTAATTAAAATTTAAATAAAATTAGTTAACTCAATAATTAAAATTAGTTTCGATTGAAAAAAAATTAATTCTAAAATTCTGAGAACAAATAAATAAAATAATTAAGAATCAATAAATTAATTTTTGTGATCAAGAACCTTTTTTTTGATATCTTTGAACAATAATTTATATCTGTATCACAAAAACGTAACAGAATATATTTAACAATTTGAACAGATTAAGACTGTCAACTGTCAACGTTTTTAAAAATTTTATTATTTATCTGAAGAAATTATTATTAAATTTAGTTGTAACGTATTTTTAGAAGCAGGAAGAAAATTGGAAAAATAACTCACTCGGATTTATTCCTTTTTTTTTGTTACAAGAATTTGAATGATTATTAGACATTCGACTGAAGATAATTGTGTTTGACAGGGACAAATGCCGGTTGTGAAATAAATTTTTCCTGTATATGAAAAATCATCAACAGTTATAAATATAGATATATATGTTAAATGTTGAATATGTATTTGATCATTGAACTAGTCCTGAGTTATGTGTCTATAACCAGATTGTTTGTTAGCGAAACTGCTTCACTTTCGCCATTTCACTTTGTCTATCGATAACACTATGCGGCTAACAAGAAAGTTGACTTTGTCTCTCATCATGCACACATTATTTTGTTACGAGGAGAAGGTTAACGACGATAAGAGAAAGGTTAATTAAAAATAGGAAATTCAGAAGAAAGAATTCAGAAAAATTCAGAATAGTTGTCGAATGGTTTTTTTCATTTGGAAAGAGGCAAAGTTTTAAGATAAAATTAGAGAAAATAAAATGGGGAAAAAAATTGATTAAAGCCATAAGGGTTTAATCAATTTTTTTCCCTATTTTATTTTCGCTAATTTTATCCTTTAATGAAAATTATTCGCAATTTGTTAATTATAATGATTATAATTGTAATTTATAATAATTATCATTTTATAACTGAAACGAAAAAATTTTACATCGACACTAAACTTTAAAGCACAGAATTTGTTTCACTTCGTTTGTGAGAGAACTTTCATGCCATCTAGGCGGGAATTTAATAAACTGTTTTGGCGCGAAATTTAAATAAGAAAAATTTAATTCAGAATAATAATGAGAATTATAATGAGAATATAAGTTAATTATATTCTACTAATAATGGATAATAATTCTATTAATTTATTAATTAATTAATATCTAAAACAAACAAATATTATTAAAATTTTATTTTATTAAAACAATTTTTCTAATTAATAGTAATTTCATATCTATAAAAAAATTTTTTGAAAACTTCTGCTTATTATTTACTAGAATTTATATAGAAATTCTATTAAATTGTTCCAGAAGAATTCTGCAAAATATTTACTAAATTTTGTGTAGAATCATTTTAGAAAAATTCTGTACAATTTTTTTGACTGCGTATGAAAATAATAAAGAGAAATTTGAAAATTTCTCTAAATTTAATTTCTCAAATTAAATTATAAATTGTTCGTAAAGTGTGAAAAGAGAATTATTAATTTTTTTTTAAATTTAAATTTAAATCCAAGTTTTCTGGTTTTATCTTCAAACAGTAGTGAATAGCATTTCAATATAAAATGAAGATATCAAAATAGAAGGAAATGAAAGTATTTCCTTAAAGACTAATAGAATACAACTTTATAAAACTGATTTTATAATCGAAACCATATAATGGCAACTTTATTGTATAAAAAGCAATAAATGTCAATTAATTATTATGAATCTTCATTATAAAAGTTATTGTTAACTGCAGGTTAAAATATATTTTTTTCCATACCCGTCATGATAAATCGAATCAATTCTTTTTTTCATTATATAAGTTAATTCCAAAAATGAAACACACAGCAATCGAGAGTGATTAGTATTATACACTGGAAAACCTAAAAGATTTATTATTCTTCGCTTCTAAATCAATTTATAATATTTAACATTTTAATTCAAAACCAAGAGAGAAAAAAATTTTTAAAGAATTTTTATAGAAGTTTTCTATGAAAGTAAAATTATAATTTTATGTTCTAATCTACATAAAGTCTAATAAACGTTGTATAAAATTTTACTTGAACAATTAAATAGAATTTTACTGAAACAATTAAATAGAATATCCAGGATAAATTTCTGTAAATATTTAGCTAGAAATTTAGACAATTATTTTTTTATAGATATTAATATTAAATATTATTATATTAAATTTTAGATATTATATATTAAATTATATATTATTAATTGTATTTTATTAATATAAATTTTTCTTAATAGAAATTTATTCTACTTTTAATTTTGCGCCAATAGATTATTAATTAAATTTTCCATTTTTGAGTTAATTAAATGGTTTTTGCTTCAAATACTGAAATTATTGGTTCAAATACCAATAAATAAATTAAAAAAAGTAAATTTAAGGTCCAATAAATATTATTTGATTCAAGTAAATATTTAATTGATAATAGTCACTTAATCAGTTATTTGAATCAAATAAATTTTTTTTTTTCAGTGGAGAATAATTATTTGCAAATTACGAATAAATTTTTCACACGAAATCGTGAAAATTTTCTAAAATAATTTATTATATATTTTGCTTGAATAAAAATTGGTTGACTATCACTTCCGTCTTTGTTAACAAAACTGATCGATCGTCTGATCGCAGAGGCCGTGAAATAATTTTCATTTGTCGAGATCATTATCCTTGATCGTTTATAAATATAAATTGTGAGATAATTATTTCGAAAGAGTGTGTGTGTGTGCGATCTTCCAAGTTTTGTTGTACACAGTTTAAATAATTGCCCAACTTTTATTCCGGGTCAGAATCGTGATCACCCCACTTACTATATTGGGCGAATGAAGCAAATCCTTTTGATTAGATTTAGATTTAATCCTGATTAGCTTTAAATAATTTACCCTGACTGCTTATAAGGAAAGATTAATTTCTTACACTTTAGGAATAAATTTTTCATCTCCGGATAGAGAAAAAAAAATTGCTTGTATAATCTGATTGAGTTTGAAATTTATCCATTTGTAGTTTTTTTTTAATTATTTTATTTCTTAAACTTTCAAAATTTTTCGAAATTAAATTTCAATATTGGAAACTTTCTCGATTTAGTGAAATGAGAATATTTGGTCTTTAAAGCTGAATTAGTATTTTTTTTTTTACTAATTTGATTTACTAAATCTGCACCAAGAGGATTTGTTTAAAAATTCGTTAATAAAGATTTAACTAAATTTTTGGCAGTAAAATAATTTTTTAGAAGAAAATTAATTTTACTATCAAATTTACAAGTTTTTACTATTAAATTTACTAAACTTACTAAGTTTACTAAGTTCTTTATAACTTCTTTATTTACTTCAATATCAACTTACCTCTATGTTTACTTATTTATTTACTTACTACCTCATTTAATAAATTATTTACTTATAATATAGAAGTAAATAAATTAGTAAATATACAGAAGTAAGTAAATACTTACTTCTGTATTTACTAATTAATTAAGTATATTAATTAATTAAGCAATTAATTAATTAAGTAAAAAGTAAGTTAGTAAATAAATTAGTAAATGCAGAAGTAAGTAAATACTTACTTCTGTATTTACTAATTTATTTACTAACTTAATTTTTACTTAATTAATTAATTGCTACCTTATTTACTTCTTTATTTAA